AATAATATAAAAAAATGGAAGTTTGAAACTTGACATTTTTGCCCTTGCACGGAAATCGAAGCCTGGGAAATGGAGACAGATGCAGCTACTGTCCGTTGTAGCTGCCCGTTGGAACTTTTGACCAATATTTAATTTTTTTTATTTTTTATTTTTATATGACAATGTACTGTACACTTTTTGACTCATGTGCAACCAATGTCAAAGTATCACACGTGGCCACATATGTAATTGGAAAATCAGATTCCTGCGTTTCTATTGTGATGTATTGTTTAATTAAATTTTTTTTTTTGTGTTCTTTTTTTTGGGGTTTTTTTTTTTTTTTATTCAAGTGATTAGGGATGGCAATGGGAGTTAATAGGCCTTGTTTGGTTCAAAATTGGAAAAGAAATGTAGGGGAAATAATCTACAAATATTATTTGGTTTACTGGTTTTGAAAAAAAAAAATCAAAATCATTTTCTATGTCCTGCACATAAATCAATCATTTTTTTTTTCTCCGCTTTCCTTCTGAATCACTTTTGTCTCTCACACACATCCACTCAAGTACAGACTAATATACAATATTTTTAAATTCCCACACTGGGAAACTATTTCCAAAATATACAACTAAGCAAACCAAAAAAATTTGTAAATGCTTTCCCCAATTTTTTTTTTCTTTTTTTATAAATTTATCTCCCAAAACCAAACAACACACACCCATACCTTCAAAAATTCTCAATTTTGTAAACTTGGTAAATTTTCAATTTTTTTTTTTAAAAATTTAACATAGGTGTTCGGTCCACACACATGGTAATTTCTTTGATGTCCACAATGTTAGGTTTTATTCTTGGCAACTCCGTTTGACAAAACTCCTTTCAGTTGTATTTATTTTCGCACTTTTTATTTTAGTGAGGCTATGAGTGTTTAGATGCGAATCCAACCCGAATTGTGCTTTTCAGAGAAGTTTGTGATGATAATGCTTTCAAGATTGCCACTTCGCTAATTATGACGGGGATCGAGCTGCCCGGTCAGCTCGCGGGGGTCCAGGGGGCAGCACCCCTTGGCGGGTTCGGGGCAGCGCCACGGCGGGGTCGAGGGGCAGCGCCCCCGAAGCAAAATGCACAAATGCATTCCAAGTTGCCTATTCGCTCGAGCGAACATTACCCCGCTCGAGCGGAGAATCCCTGGTTCCAGTAGTTTTGGTCGCCTGCAAAAGTACTGAGATGTGTGATTTCGCGCTCGAGCGGGTTCTCTGGCACTCGAGCGGACCTCTGTTATATCACGCGCAGATTTTACTGAAGAAGCTCGAGCGGGATGTTGGGCACTCGAGCGGACCGCGTGAACACAGTTTTTCGGATTTCAATAAGGATTGGGTTTTCTTCCAAATCTAGGATTACTTTTGATTTTTCTATAAGTAGTTGGTTTTCTCCCAAAAACTAGACTACTCCTCAATTCCTCCAGATCTTCTTTTTGGTTCTTAAGGTTTATATCTGGGGATATTTTGTTAGTTTTCTTTGATATTTTATTTAGTATTCAACTCATGGTTTAAAGAGAGTACATCAAAGGTTTTGTTTGCTATACATAAGAGAGAGAGAGAGTTGTTCTTCAATGGATTCTGAAAAATTCGAGCCTAAAGCTTTGGTGGATTCCGGGGTGGCTCATCGTAAAGACAATTCCGAGGTGAAGACGGGTTGGAAGAGGCACATAGAGGTTGGTTCAATTAGGCGTGGATTCGCTAGGTAATTGAGAGTATACCTGTGTAATTCCTTTAAATCTTCTTAGTGGATTGTTTTGTGGCTGTTGCCCGTGGTTTTTTAATCACAGTTGGAGGTGTCCAATTGTGGTTTTTTCCACGTTAAAATCGTTGTGTTCTTTTGTCTTGATTGTTTGATTGAGATTGTTATATATTGCTTAAAATTGTTACATAATCACAAATCAATATCTAGGGGAGTTCTAGATTTTTCACACAACATTTTCGAAAACAAATTTCGTAATGAATAACATTGACACTTTTGTTGGTAATGTTTGTGGTGTTATAGATGAAACTTGGAAAATAAAATTTTAATTATTGTCAATTTGCAATATTGAAAGTAGTTTATTTGAAGATTTTTCAAATACATTAATTTTTTTATTTTATTTCTGAAATACTGATTTTTATTTTAGTTGGTTGAAGACAATTTTGTGCCATGTTTTTTACGTGATGTAATTGGGCACAATTATAGACTTTACAGTTAATGCATGTAATATGTGTGACGAAATTCATTATGACAATCCGTGAAATAGGGATTTTGCATTAACCATACACGCATGCAAAGTACGACAATTTCGAAAGTTTTTTTTTTAAATTCGTACATCTTCAAATATCTAAACAGTTTTGTACGTTATGCATACAAAAGTACAAAACAAGACATTAGTGACGGTTTTCACAAAACACATACTACGGAAAACATTTAAAAGCAGTCATGGTAAACAACACTGTCCGACTACCTACCATTGCGCCGAATTTGGTATAACTCAGCCTTTATCCGATGACGCACCTCTGCCATTTCAACGTCCTTGTCCGTAGCCACGACGGCTTCGTCTAGGGCAACCAAATCTGCACAATCGGGAATATCGGCATACGTGTACTCCGCCGCATTTCTGACAGCAGCAATGGTCACATTATCCTCACATTTTTCTGCGTATGAAATTGTGTAATGCCATAGATGCAGCCACCAACGGCACCTGGACTCTACGAAAGTCAAAACGAGGCATGTTGTGCAAGAATCTCCACCGCGACTTCCAAGCGCCAAATGTTCGCTCAATCACACTCCGCAATGAAGAGTGGTCACGGTTGAACAACTCATCACGATTCCTCGGCTTGTGACGTTGAAAGTGTGGTTGGTGATAGTGGCTGCCCTTATATGGTGCGAGAAATCCCTTCTTATTACTGTATCTACTATCCACTAGATAATAGCGACCTGTGAATATGTACATATTAATACATATTTGTTTCATGTGTGGGCAAACAAATTTAACAAGTTATGGCATTGAACAAATAAACTGTGCGTACGTACCATCCACTGCAATTGGAAAATTATATTGCGGATCCTCGGTGACAATGTTTAAAATCCGGCTGTCATGAATGCTACCCTCCCAACCACATGACACAAAGACGAAACACATATTGAAATCACACACTGCCAAAATATTTTGAGTGTGGCAACCCTTTCGACTAAAATACGGGGCTGCTTCTGACTCCTTTATGCACGCTGGCACGTGTGTCCTATCCAAGGCACCTAAACAATCCTACACAATTCGAACAAGTAGGCAACGTATTAGTACCATGATGACATGCATTATAGCCGCGCAATTTTTTGAAGTCACATCTTCGTAGAATTTGTGGAAAAAAAACTCGAATTGTTGCATTTTTTTCGCACCTTAAATGGCAAATACTATGGTTGGGTCTGCAGGTGGGGATCCCTCATGTTTTGGAAATCTGTGGGCGGCCGACAATGCGCAATGGTAAACTTTTTCGTTGCTTTCAGAACATTATGAAAATGGCGTGATATTGTTTCACTGGAGTGTTGGAATCTTTCTTGAAACTCGCGGTTAGGCAAGTTTTTTAGAACATGAATGAAGATTGCAACACTCTCCTCAACGTGCAAGTCGTGGTCCCGCTCAGGTACATGCAACCCGAAGTCGTTCACTAGTGTGGCACATAAACGGGTAAAAACGACTTTGGGCATGCACAGTTCATAGCGAAATCTGCCACTGTGTCCATTATACATTTCCAAAATCCATGCCCTCCACGTCAAGATGGACGTCCGACATAGAACTTTAAGCATGTGCGCCCTGTAGTAGTCGGAGGCAATTCTGTACGCTTCAACATAATTATTATTCATTTCAGTCTGCCACTTGATTGTGAGCGCCGCGACATCATCACACATTTCCTACATCCGTGCATCGGTGTCATCGTCGATTTCCATGCCTAAATCACATAACTTCAAATAAAATCAGAAGCATGACATGACAAACTACTACTCTGCCAAAATTAAACATGCAAAAATTAATTTTTGTTTGGTCAACTGTAAAGGCTGTCAGTAACAGGAGTATTATGCATAAATAATTAATTTATTTCGTTTGCATAAATTCTTCTGAGACCTTCTATTGTATTAAAGTAGTTCTGTTAGCAATGGTGAAATCGTGAAGACATTTACTTGATGTATAAATAAGCAATTTTTTTTTCTGTTTTCTGACTAATAAGCAAATCAGAAATTGCAATGAGATATACAAAAACACAATGTTAAATTAAAATATACAAAAATAATAACTTAAATTATTTTACTTTTTTAGTACCTTACAACGGGTCTAACTTCCAGTTTTTAAGTTGAAGGCTTCAGTAAACTGGACATGTCTCTCTACAAGTAGCAACGCTTTTGTTCAAATGGTCCAGTACAGCTGATTTACAACCACTGTTTACATAACTATGAAGCTGCAAATTGGAAGAGTGTAATCAAATTCATGGTTTATTGAAATTTAAAATTGTAAAATCCATAGCCGATACCCAACCAATGCATATCCATAATTAGAAAACCAAGCAAAGAAAATGAATAGCATAACCATCTCCCTACCAATTCTCCTTACAAAGCGTAGTTGAAAACATCATGTCATTAGCAAATACAAAACGAACATAAGCAAAAAGAAGTCCAACACAAAGCATTTCATTAAAACGCAGCCCTTTAGCAAATATAAGCGAAGTCCAACGCATAAGCGAAAAGAAGTCCAACACAAAGCATAGTTAGAAACGAAGTCCTTGATTGCGCAATATGCTTGCAAGAGTTGGAACTGCTGTCGTCCTCTATTTGTCTTGTTGCTTCACCTGGAGCCAGCTGATAATGCCTTCATCGAAAGGAATACTCATAACCATCTCCCTATTATTGGGCACCTCCATAAGGGAAATACCGAAATAGAGCAGTGGATTAGTTTGTTCAAGTCCTTGAATTTCATAAAGACGTCCAACAACTTCGGCCATAGTGACACTTTGTCCACCGACAACATGGTTAACAGTGAGTTCCTTACTTTGTGTCTTCACCGAATTCACCAAATCATCCACGCTTGTTGCCAATGCTTCTGCCCCGGTGATTCACTTCTTCTGCACGACTGTGACAGATGAGTGCCTCCTTTTGCTGCCACTACCGGATGCGGTAATGTTTGCAGATTTCATCAAGTTTGCAGTTTCAGAGGCACCCAATTCGTTGCTGTCCGTAGAGAAGTCTGCACTATCGGACTCCCTTTCCACCTCCAGCTGGTTCCGCATCTCACTGGGCGTCCAAGCATTTTTTCCCGTTGCCGCAGCCCCCGTGAAAACACGACGCATTAATTCCTCATGATCCAACCTCTTTGTTCTAAACTTACAACACTCTTTGTCAACCTGTAATACAATACGATGGGAGCACACCATTACCAAAATGAATAACTTATGAATCTGGGAATCTGTGCATTATGAATGAACCAAAAAAATTTTAAACTACCAACATTCAGCAAGTATTAATCAGGCATTATGAATAACAGATTTGTCTGGACAGTCCTGCCCAATAACAGATCTCTCCAACTGTCTGGGCAATTCTATGATTACACATTGCTAACAGGTAATATAATTTTATTAAATCAAATCTGATACAATCTGTTATAATCTGTCCAGACAAGGATTATGTCCAGACAGGGATAATCTGTCCAGACATATTTTTGATATAATCTGTCCAGGAACAATGTTCAACACAGCAATGTAAAAATAATATTCATAATAAGGCATACCTAATAGAAGATCTAATCCGCAGAAATGATCAAAATTGCATATACGCAATCCCACAAAGTGACAAATACTTAAAACCCGGCTGTTTCAACTCCCAAAAACTAACAAATTAATAAAACCCATAATTCAAAGTGCCAAAACCATCAATACTATTCTGAATTCTCAGATAACCCATTTACCAAATCCAGAAATGAGACAAACCAATATGAGACAAGGCCTAAACCCCCCCCCTAAAAAGAACCAATAAAACCAACAAGGCGATATAAGAGGGTTCTAGTGGACAGATAAGGGTTCATATAATCTGTCCAGGAAAATTATGTAAACATGAGTTCAAGTCGTTACCTTCTCCATTGTAGCCCACCATTCATCCGACGCATTGATCAAGCCAGTCTCTTGGTCGAACCCAATTCCAGTGGGGCCTTTGCGGCTATCCATTGGCTTCGACCATGCACGCCACTCCGCCTTTAGTTGGTTGTACCTATTTTTCAGTTGTTTCATGCTATGTGTCAACCCAGTCGCTGCCTCAAAAGTCTTAGCCAAAGACTGGTACCCATTTGGATTTATTGACATGTGCGGCCTGTTACCTGCGTCTATTTCCTTGACAACAAGTTCCAAGTAGATACGTGTGTTCTCCCAGTCCCAATTGGCTTTGTGATAAGGTTTTGGGCCCTTTCCTTTCCCGGAAGGGGTACGTGAGTCGGATCGAGTTGAAGCCATGCGACTATAGAACATTATAATTTGCATTACTTATTAGTTTGTTGTGTGCATTACTTGTAGTTGTGTTAACCATATGTTATTATGTTTGTCCAACACATATGCAATAGTAAAATGACACGGATAAGTAATATATTACATAAGTAAAGCATAGTACGGTAACAAGCAACACGCGTATACATATATCACATACGGAAACCATAGTACAGTAACCATGTAAACACTGATACATATATTACATACGGAACAACAAGATAGCGATGATGATGGACAAAAAACATGTGACAACTTTAAGTACACGCAGACTCTGTTCAATGTCAATCAAACGTGCCTTAAAACGACGAACATTGTCTCTGTCATTCTCAGCAGCCGTTTGTCGGCCATATTTGTCACACCACCCAATCCAATTGACACATGGCTGAGGTTAAAAAAAGTTATGAAATTATTAGTGACAGTTTGACAAGGTAATAATCCCAAAAAAGGTGAAGGTGCTTGTACTCACCACTCCACGAGGGCATTGGTAGTACACACGTCCTGGATTTTTGGCGGACCGAGAAATCTTGACCACACAATGCCCGTATCCACAAGCACACATAGGGCCTGGTTGTGTTGATGTCGCAGTGGACATAAATGAGGCCATGTAGTCTGTGATGACGTGTTCGATGACATGACAAGCACAACAAAACAGGTAAACGGGTATGACACTTACAGTATGGGATAAGTGTATTGTGTAAACAAAACACAACATTATATTTACAAAACGGAACATATATTCTTCCATTTTGAATAGGATTGCTTCCCTAGTCATTTTATGTGCAAGTGGTTGAATGCTAAGAAGCACAGAGGCAGAAACGGGAATTTTGTAAAAAACTAAGATACCGACAAGACTAGACAGAAATACAGCAAAAAAAATCTTTTTGTTTTTTTTTTAAATTTCCATTGCTATGTATATAAATATAAATTTAGGAGACACTGATATAAAAGGCATTAATGTACGTAGGTGTATTTTTACTTTCTCAGTTTCCTCTCTTTGTTTTTATATATTTTAGTTTGATCTTAATGCATCTTTCTAAATCATATAAAAAATATCACAAATATGATTTGAGGCATGTTTAAACAGAGGACACACGTATCTGTGAACTGTCTAGTTAAAAAAAACAAATAATTCATTCCACGTGACGTGTCCAACATAGAGATGTATCCCTAGCATGTTGGTGCCCCATATATTGACACAAACACATCTATTTTGAAGTGTCAGTACTTCACAAGTTGATTGAGTTTTCAAGTGTCTCAAACTTTTCCTTGCCTTTCATAATGTGAACATGATTTACACTTGTGCTTTGTTATGACAGATTTAAAACCGAGAAATTAAAATATTAATCATGATTCACCATACAACAAGCAAAGAGCTTGAAAATAAAAGTAAAAAAAAAAAAACAGAATCATGGCAAACCAATAATACCAAAATAGCACATGACACACATCAGAAAAAACCTCTTTGATAGCCATGCACACATACTGATGCAATTAACCTCTTTGAAATGGAAGAAATGAAAAATCCTCAATCAATTACCATGCAGAAAGACAACCATTCATCACGCTGGAATGGCCATGCACACATACTGATGCAATTAATCTATCACTTTAGAAAACATTGTGCTGAGGCATCTATCTAGGCAACATTAAAATTTGCAGTCTCAAAAAACTAGCTAGGTATGAAGGCAACATAATAACGTAAGATCCCACCACAGCATTAACCATATATTGATAGCATTACAAGTCAAAGTCATCCTTGGATTAGTAGTTTTATTGTATTTAGGACAATGTTAATTAAGGCATAACCACAAGAAGCCAACTAATATTTGTCAGGAAATACAGTAGTTAAGCAAAGCCAACGCGATTTTGAGGTCAATATATTAAGGCAACTATGTACCAAGCAGCACAATAGTTTGCATCAACCAACATGGCGACTACTAAAGACTGAAGCAACTCAAGGGAATGTCAAACTCATACCAGGATTTTTTTTGAAACTACAAACTTGTGTATTAGATTAGAAAGAAATAGAATGTTATGTCATGTTAAAATATATGCACATTTACATATATATGTATGTACATGTGTATTAGATTAGAAAGAAATAGACTATATTCATGAATATGTATATGCATAAAGATCTACAAAAAGTACTTGAATAGATGTTACACAAACATCCTGATCATGGAAATCATGCTCACCAACTTCACAGTTATACAGCTACTGAATTCATGTCTATGTTCCATCTATTTAGCACTTTCTAACAATCGTATCACATTTCCATGAACACTATGAGGCAAGCGTGAAGCAGAAAAATGAAAAATAAGAAAGCGTCAAGCAGAAAAATGAAGACCTTTAAACTATTTTGTGAATTTAAAATATAGCTCCATGACCTTACCTTAAACAGATAACCTTAAACAGATTAAAAATCTTAAACGCATGCAAACAGATTACAAATTTTAAACAGATTAAAAACCTTAAACAGATTACCTAAAAATATAGCTCCATCAAATGCATGCATTACCTTACCTTAAACAGACGACCTTAAACAGAAATCTTAAATAGTTTAAAATTTTGAAACAGATTAAACATTTGTGAAAATTTAAACACATAAAAATCAACATTACCTTGAACAGATTAAAAATCTTTTGCTGAAGTACATTGTTTAAACACTGAGATATATGGAAGATGAGTTTGTTGTGGAAATTCGTATGATTCGTTGTTTTCTAGTGACAAATTTTCTTTTTTCTCCCCCCTCATTTTTCATTATCGGGATTGAATCCACCTTACTCAAAAGATTAACAGGGATAACCAAACTGCTACATAAACAAAAGAAAATGACCAATTATTCACCAACTTTATTGTGATGTGTTCGTAGAAATCACAATGGTGGCATTTGTAGCTAATTTCACCAAATTTATAGGAATAGTATAAATGAAAATTTCATGTCAACGTATTGCACAATCATAACCACAGAGACAGACAGAATACTTCCAACTTGTTCTATTAATACAGACTACTTCGTCCTATTTAGGGGGCTTTCTTGTTAGGGAAAATTAATCATAATACTTCATCGTATTTAGGGGACTTTGTTGTTAATCCCCCCAAAAAAAATGTTGTAATTTTTGGTTTTAGAACACATAATGCGTATGAAATAGGCAACGGTTGATACACACACACACAGCGACAAAGACAAACAGAGAGCGAGAGGGAGAGAGGGCAGACTATTCACATATACAAAATCCAGAGCAGAGAAGTCATGGTTATGAGATCCACACCCCCACACCAACGGACAACCCGCAATATTGTCTATTTCTGGTACGTGAAAGAAACCCTAAAACCCCCAACATAATAGGCCAGTTTCTGAAAAAATTTACCCAACTCGAATATTGAAGACAAATTGGAAAACGACAATGGTCAGACAGAGTGACAGACACACACACACACACACACACAGAGAGCGCGCGCGCGAGAGAGAGAGAGAGAGAGAGAGAGAGAGAGAGAGAGAGAGTTCATACATACATACAAACCAAACAGAGCGTACGACGGTTGGGAAGCCATAGCAAAATAGAAACAAGAGAGGCTGAAGAGAGAGACAGAGAGCGAGAGCATACCTACAGTTGGGGGGATCGTCGGAGGAGGGACTGCTTTTCCGTTTGCCGTGGCGGACTATCGTCGTCTCTTGGTTCCTCTTTCTCTTCAGATCAGAGCTTCTACTATGATCCAGCCTTGAACGAAGGGTCATCTTCATCTTCACCGTTTGATGTAGCTGCACAGCCGTAACTACTACACCCTGTGGGAGAGTAGGTCTGCTGATATCCCCATCAATGTTTGACATAAAGGTAGGGGTGAAAACGAGATAAACAAAATAAAAGAGGGGCAAAACGGTCATTTTACACTACAGCTGGCAGCCTTCACGTGCAACTAGTGTATATAGGTTTTTAGGGTGACTTTTTGACTTTTTTGATAACTTTTTGGCTTTTTGGCTAAAACAGAAGCATCCCAAACGTGGCCTAATATTGTCTATTAATTTTATAGAAATTTTTGGACCTTTGGTGACAATAATCCACATGGCATAATCAGTGGCTTGTAGGTATAGGGTCATCTTATCCTTCCAATGACTGTAGTTGTTTCCGTCAAACAATGGTGGCCTATTTGTGGCTTGTCCTTCAGCTAAGGTTGCCATGGATGTGAGCATGACCAAGTCTTCTATGCCATAACCAACTAAATTCCCAATAAATTCTCGATAAATTACTTACTAAATTCTTAGTAAATTATTCAAAAAATTTCCAATTAATTACTCAGCAAATCACTCAGTAAATTTCATGTAAATTACTCAGCAAATTCCAATTAAATCCTCAGAAAATCCTCAGAAAATTCTCAGTAAATTCCTTAGTAAATTACTCAGTAAATTGCCAGTAAATTCTCAATAAATTACCAGTAAATTCC